AGCCCTGACGCTGGTAAAAGGCGTGAAGGCGAGTCAACAAGGCCCTTTTCAGCAGAGCTTTGGGTCTGGTGGGGCCTCAGGCCAGGATTTCTACCCTGGAGTTTCGGGGGCTCGGCCTGCTAAAGACACCCAATCATTACTGACTGCAATCCAAGCAAGAACAAAAACTACATTTTAAGACGGCTGGGAGGGGTCCGGTGGCAGTACTCGAGAAAGGGGCTACTATGGTTAGCCCTGGGATGTCACAGCCTCTCAGTACATTATCACGTGGCATCTTCCTCGGTTCGTGTAAGAAGGTCGCGTTTACATCTTAAAAGTATGCAAATTTCGCGATCGAGAAACCCCCTAGGAGGTGGGCGCACCAGAAACCAGAAACGATCACCCCAAATCTAGAGTAACAGCGAGGCGAGCACGAGGTGAGGAGGAAAGGGAATGACGGGAGCTCCGCGCGCGCGCCCGTGCGCGTGCGTGCGCGTGCCCGAGTGCGCGCGCGCGGTGGCGGAGGCGCTGGTTGCGTCTCTCCCTCCGTTGACGTGCGCGCGCCCGCGCCTCGTTCTACCCGCGGCGTGACCGTAAAGAGGCGCGGCCGTGTCGTGAAAGGGGCCGCAACACGCAGGGAGCTGGTTGACGGCTGGGACTCCATTTTGTTCGCCGCTGCTCTGCTCGTAAGTCGCTCGTTTCCGTGGCTTCTCCGAGGCGAAAAGTTTTTTAAAGGGTCCCTCCCTCCGTTGACGTGCGCGCGCCCGCGCCTCGTTCTACCCGCGGCGTGACCGTAAAGAGGCGCGGCCGTGTCGTGAAAGGGGCCGCAACACGCAGGGAGCTGGTTGACGGCTGGGACTCCATTTTGTTCGCCGCTGCTCTGCTCGTAAGTCGCTCGTTTCCGTGGCTTCTCCGAGGCGAAAAGTTTTTTAAAGGGTAAAAGTTTTAAAGAATATTCTGGAACTCTGTTGCTAAGCATAGCGAGTCTCCATTTTCTCTCTGCAGCAGACGTCGGTACTGCGGTTCCGGAGTAGCGGGGAGAATGCGGCCCTTGGACATCGTCGAGCTGGCAGAACCGGAGGAAGTGGAAGTGCTGGAGCCCGAGGAGGATTTCGAGCAGTTCCTGCTCCCCGTCATCAACGAGATGCGGGAGGACATCGCGGCCCTCACCCGGGAGCACGGGCGGGCGTACATGCGGAACAGGAGCAAGTTGTGGGAGATGGACAATATGCTCATCCAGATAAAGACGCAGGTGGAGGCCTCGGAGGAGAGCGCCCTGAACCATCTGCAGAATCCGAGCGACGGAGTCGAGGGCAGGGCCACCAAGAGGTGCGAGAAGGCCGAGGAGAAGGCCAAGGAGATCGCGAAGATGGCAGAGATGCTGGTGGAGCTGGTGCGGCGGATAGAGAGAAGCGAGTCGTCGTGAACGCGGGCGGCGGTAAGGCCGGGGGCGCCGGGCGGCAGTTTGCGTGGTCGCCCTCCGCTCGGTGTGGCTCCGAGGAGGGTTATTTGAGAACGGTCCGCACGGGACGGAGGTTGGGGAGACGAGAGAACCAAAGCGTGCTCGGTGTTTAACTTTAGGACGTGTTGGCGGATGCCGTGTACGTTTTGTTTACGTCGGTAATTAGAGAACGGTCGTCTCGTTCGTGTGCGGCTCGGTATGTGTGTGGTTGAAACCTAAGGTCGGGGTCGGTAGAGTAGTCGTGGAGTGCTAACCTCGAAATCCCCTACGGGAACAAAGTCACAATGTAGGCCATGAGCGAGGGGGGCGGCGGATAGAAATAGAGAATTTTCAGACGGACGGTCGTTATTGGATCACTCCAGATTTTGCTAGAAGACCGATGCCGAGTCGGATGGCATCCAGAAAAACTGACGTCCCACGTGGCTGGTGACGTTCGTGAGGCTTTTTGGTTGGGTTTTCCTCGAGATTAATCTATTAACGATGAGTTTCTCGCAATTGTACTTTAGGTTTACAGCCAATGGATTCTGGTCAACTGATGGAGATTGGCTGACACCCTGGAGAAGCTGAAACCAGAGAGCCTTTTGTTTTCTTTCTTTCTGTCTATACTCTGTTCTCATTTACACTACGTTTCTGCTGTGGTCTGTGGTTGATGACCTCAATATGAGTTTTGACTGTTAAATGTTTTTGTTTGGGGGTGTAACTTTTATTTGGGAAACGCTCTGACGTACTACAGGTATTAGGGCCTAGAGTGTAAGCTCTTGCAGCAGTCATATTTGTTCCCGGGCTTTGGTTATTTCTAAATTTTGAGGTGTTTCGCTCTTTCTTGTGTGATCTGATAGCTCCCTGGAACTTTGGGTCTGTGTGACACATGAGACTCAGAGTTGGAGTCCTCCAGCTCTGGAGGTGCTGGAGGAGCGGCTTTACTTCTAGAAGATGACACCATGCAGCAGCCGCTGAAGAAGCTGAAGAAGGGACCAGACGTCAACCGGGAATGTGAATGGGGCTGATGGGCCAGGACTGATGAATCAGAAGACGGGGTGGAAGATGGTACTGTCTGTATTTTGGGACTTGAATTTCTGTGTGAGACCAAAGGAGGAGAGATGTATTTTGTTCAAAACTGAATTTTATGTGGCACGCTATCCGATGTAACCTGTCTGGTCAGTTTGTTTGGACAACCTAACTCAGCTTTATTTGACATGGAACCTAGAATGGGGGATGAGATCTGGGTGTTCTGTGCAAGTTGATGTTATACCCTGATGTATTTCAGGGGATTCTGGGTATGATGTGAAAGATATTTGCAAGCCCTTGAGGGGCTAGGGAAGGAAAGCAAGGACTGTCTGCATTGGACCCTAAAGTGGACAGGGACTAAGTGTCTTCAAGGTTCATAAGTTGTCCAGCTGTAAGTTCATTTGAGTAGCAGACCTGACAAGTATTTGAGGTCAAAACCCTACCATGTGTTAAAAAATTACCATGTTAATAAAAGTATTCATTTGCTTGAAAAGACGACCTAAAAAGTTGTTGACTAAGAAATTGTATTTTTTTTTAAGAATGACATCTCTCCTTGTCGTCATTGCCAAATGGAGGATGAATTTCTTATGGTATTTGAGGCTCTCAGGCCTCTCATCAGAGGGAAGACTTACCTTCGCATGCTGCTCTGGGGACTGCGCGAGGAAAACTTACTCTGTGCTTAGTGTAGGAGGGAAATTGAAACACGTTCACTCCAGTCCTTGCGCTAGTAACGTAGCGGAAAGACATAACCGTAAGTGGGGCGGTAACTAGTAACGTAGTGGAAAGACATAACCGTAAGTGGGGCAGTAGACGCCCCACTTCAGAAACGAAGAACTTGCTCCTCTGGCTGCTGGGAGTACAGCTGACAGGTGCTCGAGAGCACTTCTTTAGCCAAGGTCAAGCCCCGTGGCTGGGGGGCGGGGCAGGGGTCTAAGGGCCCTACTCACTGCTACTTGGGACAACTCTGAAGGGCATCTCAGCTTCAGACCTCGCGGAGTCTGCTGAGACTCGTTAGGACTGCATCACAGCCTGCTCTCCCTCTGCCCAGCCTGGAGTCCCTTTCCACAGACATTAGCCCCAATAAACCTCCCTGCGCTCTTCATAGATTCTACTCCCTGGAGAACCCAGGTGATACTAGGAAACCACGTGTCGATCTAGACACCATGTCTTACAGCACTGAGGGAGAGAGTTAAGAGCATTTCAGAACAAGTAACTGGTGAACTTGGCCTTAAAGGATACAGCTACCAAGGACAAGGAGAGAAGGAGGGACGTCTCAGACACGGGACAACCAGGAAACCACCACCAGCAAAAGTACATTTGGTACGAGCTAAAATTAGGAAATTATTGGTACAATACTGTTAAATAGACTACAGACTTTATTCTGATTTCACCAGTTTTCCACTAATGCCCTTTCTCTGTTTTGGTATGCCGCCCTGCATTTGGTAATTGCTTTTTAAATGGGTAATACAAATGGCACGACATTCCAGAGATAGAAGGGTCATCACTCCCCAGCTTCCCAGCATTACCAGGTTGCAGCATACACACACATAACTCTCCACAGCCTTTTGTTTTGTTTGTTTACATAAACGGTAGCACACTCTGTAACCTGTGAACGTCCTTTGTGTGTTGCTTCTTTGCACCGAAAACCAGTCTGAAAGTCTTACCCTATCTAAACATCTAGATTTGCATTCTTTTTTTTAACAGCTGCATAGTGTTCATTGTACTAGAAATGTTAAGTATCAGAGGTGATTGTTTTACAAGTTTGAGACCTATTGTCCTAAATTCTCTGACTCCTTAGTTGCTTTTCTTTTTGACTTCAGTCACAATTGCAAAGCAGCCACCCGAGTCCCGAGTTCTCCAGGTCCTTGTCTCGGCTTGCCAGTAATTGGAGGCACAATCGAACCTTGCATTTTCGAAGCAGAGAATCTGATAAGGAACTGTTCTGAGAGGCTGGAGTATGGCTAGGGTTGCCAGAATTTTTATGACATCCATGTGTCTCTGGCTGGCTCTCAGAGTTTAGGTCCTGCAAGGCTGTGCAGACGACCTGTTGGGGGTTCCTGGACAGGTTCCTGACACTGCAGAGGCTGCGCGAGGCTAGGACCTATCTCTGCTCAGGTATGTCAGGTGTGACAAGCGCTTTTATATCAGCGCTATTACAGAAAGCAGCACAGGAGCTGTGGGAACATGGATTATGTAACAAAAGCGCCAATGAAAAATGGCAGCAAAGTATGTAGCATGTTCAGAATTCACTGGTCCCACACTTGGTCAGAATCAGGCTGGGGAGACCACAAAGTAGTGCTGCAGAGGCTTCTGCATCCGGATGCTCCTTCAGCTGAGATGACCCCTAGGAAGAAAACATTTAATTCTTGTGGACATTACGGGAGGACTGGCAACAGCCAAGGACACGACGCGGGGGCGGGGGAGGGGTGGGAGGAGATGAAGGAAAGTCACTTCAGTGAGGGGAGGACAGTGCGAAGAGTATGTACCCAAAGGCTGCCATGGAACAGAGGGGCTGGGAACCTGGAATCCTGGCTCCCAGTCCCCCTGCCACCTGACCTCTGTGATCTGGAGCAGACACTGGCTTGTCTCAGGTTCCTTCCAGCCCTGGCGTTCTGTATGACTTCTGGAACTAAAGCTCATCTGGAGTAAACTGCTGCAGGCGCCATCAGTGCTGTTACCATATGAATTCCAGGCACACGGGATTGCTCTCCCTGGCTCTCCCTTCCCTCTGGCACAGGGACCAGCAACCTCGAGATGGTGGGCGATAATCAGCCTGCGCCCCACTGATGAGCAATGGCTCCCGCCAACGGTACGATGAAATGTAGCACAAACGTGGAAAAACCTTAGTAGTTTTATCCAGGCGGTGGATAAACACGGTGTGGCTTGAGTTTCTACCATCTTTCCCAAAGAGAGGTGGGGATTTGTTACCTGGTTAACACTGAGGCCAGATAACTCGATCCAGGGCTTGCCCCAGTCATGGCCTGAAATAAGCGCCTCCCCTGCTCGATTCTATTTTCCCTTTTTCTGATCCCTATAATCTACAGTTCTTCTTCCAATTTATATCCCCGTTCCTTTTTCCTTCAAATGCTCCAGTCCGTGATTCACACAGACCTATGTTCTATTCCCAAACCCGTTCATGTTATTCTTTGCCTCTTCAAAGAACGTTTCTTTACTACCTTAATAGCTGAGACCAGACTCCTCCAAGCACTAGGCTTTCCTGCAGCCTCACTGGTGATGGTCCCGAGCTTCATGCACTCAACTGACCAGGGGCTGTGTTTCCGGCAGCGGGGAAGAGGAGTAAGAAAGAGGTTTGGGTTTTGACGAGAGCATTATTGCAGCAATGGACCATGCACGCTAAATTCTTGATCTAGAACTTCCAGCCTCCAGAACTGTGAAAAAATTTGTTCTTTAAACCACCCAGTCTGTAGTATTCCACTGTGGCTGCCCTAGCAGACTGACGCGTGACATATCCAGAACAGGAAAATTCCGAGACACAAGGCCAACTAGTGGTTGCCGGGGGCAGGGAGGAGGGGAAGGCGGAAGGTGGAGCTATTACACTAAATGGATAATGGATGTTTTTAGAGGGGAAATGGGAAATGTATAGCAATCACTGGTCCATAGCAATTCTGAAATCCAGCTGGGCCATTTCCAATTTCACCCTTAGGCTCCGTCGCACTGCTTGGGAACGGTCTCTATGAATCCAGTTCTGCCCTCTGTGCTCGGCTCCAACCTCTCAAAGCATCTTTCCTTTTTCATAAAATATAACCAGGGCTTGCAGCTGAGTAGTGTTTTCAGCCTGCTTCTTGCCTATAGAAATTCGAGTTTCCAAAATTCCTTTTCATTTTGTATTGTCTCCTTTAGTTCAAGCTGATGAAGTGCCTTTTAGAACTTTGTAAAATTCTTACTAATGTATCCATGATTGATTAATAGATAAACCCACAAAAGCCACACCCACGAAACTCACTGAAATAAGCCCTTCTCTACGTTGGGCTCCAGTGACATTTGCAAGATCTATCAATGCCTTTAAGATCCTTAGAAAGCCTTTTGCGTATTTGAAAGACTCTAGGAGTCTTTGACGCATCTGCTCGCTCCAGCCAGGTTTTAATGGAGGATTTACACCCATGCCTTTGATCTCATCTTTAAGCCAGGTTTTCCTGCAGCCACCTAGATCGGATCTCTGCCCAGAAGCCCTCTCAGGGTTAGCACCCTTTGCCACGGGAGGCCCGCAATGACAGACTGTTCAATCCACAACCCCGATAAGCCCTGAGTCATACATTTAACAGCTGCTTCTCTAGCTTCTCTCTCTCCTCTTGCCCTTTACTGCAAGCAACTAACTAGAAGAAGCCGGGCAACACCTTGAACGCTGCCTTCAAATTTCCTCGCTCTTTCATTCATCGGGTCCATGTCCTGTTTTCCATTTTCCCGCTGGTAACAGTTACCAAACTCTCTGCTGCTGTAACCAAAGAGCCCCTTTCCTCCAGATCCCTCGCCTTCCTTTAAGCCATCGCTGAAAGCCATCTTGAGGGCCATCAGGCGTTTTCTGTCTCTTCAGTATCTTTCTGACATCTGCCCAGTCCCAATATCACTCCCGTGTTTTAGATTGTCATAGCAGCAACCGTTTAGATTGTCATACCTACTACTGGTTAAAAAAAAAAAATCACTTGAAGACTTAGTGGCTTAAAACAACAAGTACTTCTTTCTGGCACTTTGTCAGGAATTTTGTGGCAACATAGCTGGACAGTTCAGGCTCAGGGTCTCATGAAGTTGCAGTCAGACTGTGACCAAGGTCACCTTGAAGGTTGCTCCATTCACATCTGTAGTTTGACTAGTTATTATGGACAAAAAGTGTTAAGTGGCTGATGTCTGGAACTTACCCAAATTTCCTACATTAGCACCGACGGAAATGAATTCCCCTTTTTAAGTCTCTACGCTCCCGCGATTGGTCACTTGATGGAAGGCTTCTCCCAAGTGGGTTTTAAGTTCACAGATGATTCGCAGGAACTGAATGGCACTGGGAAAAGCTGGAATCAAGACTTTTATTACCTTCTCTCCTGCTACATCTGTCCATCACCTGCCTCCCCAGAGTCTGATGTGGTCTAAAGCCGGCAAAACATACAAGGTTGTGAAAACCTCATTCTGCATGGCGCGATGATATTAAAAGTGGCTGTAGTGATGGTTACGTTTTTTAAAATTTGTGAGTCTGGTGCGGTACATCCAGACAACACATAGAAGAAACTTAGGTTCAGGGTACAAAAGGGGGTGAAAATGAGAGAGGCTTTGGAGGTACCAAAGGGATGAATACCTGAAGAAGATACTCCTGGCTAAAGTTTCTAAAGAAAAAACCCAGAACATTTGAGCATCCGGTTGAGATTCCCCCACCAGAGACTGAGCCAAATAAAAATATGGAAGAAAGGAAGGTTTGGCACTTTAGTTTCTTTGGGACTATGATCTCACCAAGAAAGCCTTGGCCGCCATAAATCTCAGTAACGATAATAAACATCTCTGAAGTGTCTGCAGTACGGCTGGGAGTTGGATGACGTGGACTGGCTCTGTGACGAGTCTGCGGGCCAGCTGATCCACGCTGGGCCTGCCTGGGGCACCTGGTTTAATGCTTCTCTCATCTTTCCCCTTAGACCAATGAGACAACCCAGTATGTTCTTCTCACAGCAAAGGCAGAGACGCAAGAGTGAAGATGGCCCAACTGTGTGAGCGTGTTTCAAGCATGTGCTTGTGTCATGTTTGCTAGCATCTCATTGGCCAAAGCGAGACACAAGGCAAAAGAATTGGGATCACTTACACGGTCTACCACGATCCGTCCCCCTGCCCCCAACTATGCATGTAAACTTTTCTCTCCCCATCCAAATATTCCCCAAAATTTCTTCCAATCATGGCATCAGGCTAGAAGTCCTGTGACCCACATCAGATTTAAATATGGCTTTTCATGTCGAGGCCTATTAACTTAAAAAAAAACTAGTCACTGCTCACTATCTTGGTTCAAGCCACCTAACAAATAGCATAGACTGGTGGCTTAAAACAGCAATCAATTATATCTCACAGTTCTGGAGGCTGGGAAGTCCGAGATCAAGGTACTCACAGATTCAGTGTCTGGTGAATCTCTTCCTGGCTCGCAAACAGCTGCCTTGTCCCTGTATCCACTGGGCATGAGGAGAGGGGGAGGGGAAGAGAGGAAAAAGGAGCGGGGAGAGAGAGAGGAGGGGAGGGGAGGCTCTCTGGTGCCTCTTCTCATAGGGGCACTATTCCCATTGTGGGGGGTTCCACCTTCACGACCTAATTACCTCCCAAAGACCCCATCTCCAAATAGCATCTCATTGGGTTTCAACATATGAATTTGGACGGATACAACACAGTCTAAACACTCATGTGGACCCAATATACAGTGGTGACACTGGGACTAGATAATGCCCATCTGTAAGGGAAGAATGAGCGGCATGGCAGTCGCCGGATCCCAGCAGCTTTGACATTCTGTGGGGCTGATATGGTCGAGTGTCTCTCCTCTAGGGAGAGGGAAAACTCTTTGATTAGGCTTTGCTTCTGCAACCTAGAAGTGGTTCACGAGGACGGGGGCTGGCAAACTTTTTCTATATAGAGACAAATAAGAAAATGTTTAAGGTTTTGTGGGCCAAATACAGCCTCTGTCACATATACCTGTTTTCCCTTTATTTTTTTCCACAGCCCTTTAAGAATGTGAAAACCATCCTTAGTTCAGGGGCTGTAATTTGCAACCCCCGCCCTCGTCACTCTTCAGGACACTGTGTTCTCCAGCCCTGTGTCCTTCCTTTTCCATCTCGACCATTCCGAAGAAAGCGTCAGGAATCTGCCAGTTTGGCTACTGAGCCTGCTTTCTGCTGGTAGAAAATTGGAATTCTAGAAGTCTTTTTACATATGAACAGTTTGTCTCTTTTCATCCAGAACAGCAGCTTTTTTGCTGATATGGCTGCCTCAAAAACTGTGTGGGTTTCCTAAGTATTTTATCCCATTCCACTCACATAGGAAAAGCAAGACAATTCTGAGATATGTTTCTCTCTCTAGACTTAATTACTGCTACTTTTGTCATATCTGGCTGCTGTGAGATGACACCCTTTGCCTGGAGCCTGTGCTAGGCAGAATTTAAGATGTTTGACTGTGATCTTTGCTCCCTGGTAATACTCCTGGGATTATGTTACATTATATTGCAAAAGAGAGACTATTCCCGTGCACCTAATCTAATCACGTGAGCTCCTTAAAAGCAGAGTTTTCTGTAGCTAGGAGCGAAAGGTGCCTGTGAGAGAGATTCCAAGGACAGGAATGAGCTGACATGCTGTTGCTTGCTTGAAAGTTGGAGGGGACCACGTGCAAGAGCCAGAGACTGGCCTATAGAATCTGAGTGACCCTAGACAACCAACAAAGAGAATCTTCCCAATATTTTCTGCCAGAGATACACAGAGTAAACAAGCCTAGAAACTTATCCATCCCACAATGACCATATACAGTAGTTGCATAAAAAAAAAAATCTGTTGAGAAATAATGTTAAACCAACATTTATTGAGCTCTTGCTG